CATCTATCTACCCCACCTCACCAAACCATCGGTGAACGAAACTGTGGCAGCTACAGCCACTGTACGACAAGTATGTGGTTCTTATAGCTGACAGTGATGATAAGACAGGAGCAGCCGAAATGTAGGGATCGGGTTCGAACCGCAATCATCATCATCATCATCAAAGACAGCAACATCAGTGTTGCCACTGATGCTTCACTGCCGTACTTGAACGTGGGCTGGGATACTGCCAGGGCGCCCACACCTAGATAGGAGGACGATTAGGGTCCTCAATCAAAGCCTTTGGCTCAAAAGCCTAACCGCAAGGCAGCGGTGTTCGGCTAGAAATGCAAGTACATTACCATTTTTTACGGAACACGTCGCCATACACGTTCCAACCCCCAACCTGGAGGGCCAGGAGACTGTGTTCGTCGGACCTCTACCCATGGACCAACCTGGTGAGCATCGTGCGGACACTCCCCAGTATAGCTCAATGGGTCGACGAGGTACACAAACCGCCGCACCAAGGTAAGGTCCAGTCTCTTCGAACCGCAAATCTTCCTGCCAATAAGTTCGCGCTTTAACCACTCAGTAGTCTCGAGCTCAATATAAATGGAGCAAAGTGGCTCCTGTGCATCAACAGATTACTGAGTGATTGAACCATTTGCCGTGCAGGTGCTCCTGTGTTCGATCTTCAGCTCATATGTATCAGTCTCTCTACGGTGTAGCTAGTCCCTTATTGTGTGAAATGTAGAAAATCACAGGACTGTTGGGGTACCGCTAACAATGACAAAGATACGCAAGACAGTGTGATATCGAACACGGGTGATATCTCCTGGTGTAGACAGAGTGAGACACAATAAGACGAAGCAGAACAAGGGGATGAGGATTGAAAGTGAAGTGGCGCCCCATAGTTTGAGCGTTTCAAAGGATGGCGGCGAGTAGAGCTGAGGTTGATAACAGGGAGTCGTCACCCGGAAGTGTAGACTGATTGTTAAAAGGCTATGGGTAGTAGCAACACTACAGACAAGGTTTAGGAGTTTCGGGCCAGGCTCAACGTGGATCCTGTTCGACAATTTAAGTCCCATGTCGTCTTTGAAGTAGTACGTAGTACGATAAGGTGTTAGAACCTGATGTTTCGGTCGGCGTGGGCAACCCTTTCCAAAGATATTGTTTCCAATTAGTTTAAAACATCATTTGGTTCCGTTATCATGTCTTCTGATTGGTGTACTGCTGAGATCAGTTGGCTGTCAGATGCGCCCAGAGTGCATATGTTAGTTCTATCTGCATCTATGTGTGATTTCGTGTTCACTTTGACCGGTAGACAAGTTTTGGAAAACAGGTGACCGTGATAAGTAACGGTAGTAGCATACTTCTCTAAGATAAAATTCCCGTCAAACAGACTGTTTGGTTTGATTGTGGTTACCAGTTTTCCTATCCACTAACCTCGTTTCAGTCCTTCTAGCTATATCGTCAAAATTTATCTGCGTGCGCACTGCGTTAAATAAGCTATTATAAAATTTGAAAAGGATTGGAAGTAGAGTTTTTCGGAGGGTATACAACGTAACCATATTCGGATAAGCAACTCAGTTTCTACTTTCACCAAAACAATACTACCAGCCTAATGACTCGTCTTTCCCAACAGTAGTATCTCCAAGAAAAAACGTTTCCTTGGCTGGTCAGAAGCTTTCATTCCTTAGAATCTCTCCCATGAAATGAAATCCTTTTAAAACTACATTTAGAACTTTCTCCCTGCATCCCTACTGGATGTTGTCACGACTAATGTTCAGCGGAATAAAATACAGTTTTTCGCATTGAACCATGGTTTTCTCAGTTGGAACATGTACAGAACAAACAAACTGGACACTTTCAGTTTGTGTTATTGTTTAGTTCATTATGGTTTCTGTGTGATTCTTTGGCTCTCTAGTTCCGTCAGCTGATCTGGTTCCTTCAGTACTTACGTCGTCATCGATCGCTCTGATCATGTCAGAGGCCATTGCATTCTAATTAAGGCGTTTGTAGAGATAATTTTTCCTGTTCTATTTTTTTTATTCTTAGAAGAACCTTTTCGGGCAACAGATTCAGAACTGTAATGGATCTGACGTATGCAGTAGACGTCATGTTTGAGATAGAGCCTCGGCTACTTTGACGACAAGTGACTAGGTGAAATGCGTTGTTTACAAAGAGTAGCGACAGTCTGATTTGTCTTCACCACTCTTCCAGGAGGTAGACTGACAGTGCGGTCACTAGAACTTCTGGCCTTGGCCACATCATTTTCAGCCTACGATGTCGCCTTGAAGTTGACGTGGACACCATTAAGTTACTGGCGTCCAGATAGCTCGTAGTTAAGGCGCCAGCTTATGGACCGGAAAGTCCCAACCTCAACATCTCGACTGTCAATACATGTCATTTCGGAACAAGGGTAAGAGACTCCATCAAAGAGCGTGGTTTGAACTAGGAGGCTCGTCCCTGCGGTTTTCACTGACAGAGACTGTTTGTAGTGCTCGCCCGACCGGAATCGTCCAATTGTGTTCCTTTGTTGCCTATTACTCGTATTTACGCGATAGCTGTCGGAAAGTCTGACAGTATCCTTCTTCTATTATCCAAATAGCTTCATTCTTCTCCCCAGATTAAAAAGGGTGACAGAATCGCACAGCTCATTTGTGAACGAATCTTCCTACCGGAGTTGGAGGAGTGTGAAACGCTGACAGAGACCGAACGCGGTGCTGGTGGTTATGGGTCCACTGGTCTGTGAGAGCCACTTGCATTTATTCGCACCGACCAGATTCTGTTATTGCCTTTGTGAGAAAGTTTTGTATTTGCCATTTTATGCGATATATATATATATTATATATATGACAATATATACGGTGTGTGTACTTGGCAGCAAGCATACATTGATTGGCTAAGTAGGTTTTGAGACTGTTTTCTGCAATCGTTTCAGCCTCTTCGAGAAAGCTCACCACAATGTACAATTTTCAGAGAAATTGTGGGACCTTTAGGAGCTTATGTCGATTGGGTGATTTGGTCTTGCGATGCAATGGCAAACTTGGTTTGCGCGCAAAAGAGCCCATACCACCTGTATTTGGTCCTGCCCTTTGAACAATAATCAACCGTGATGATCTCTGTAATAGCGGGTTGACACATCAGTTATCGCACACTTGTGATCTCCGCGACCTTTCGTATGTGTCACTGTAGCTCTATTCTATAATAAGACCCTTTCTGTGGAAAGTGATCACCCAGGGAGCCAATGGACATCAGATCACGTGACTTGAAGCAGTTGTTTGAAGGATGAGTTGTGCTGTATCTTGTCTAAGTTCACTTTGGCAGGGTACCGATCGGCCAACTTAGCCTAATGTAGGTGTTCAACTACTTTTAGGAGCGTTGTGTCTTCGAACCTTCCTTAAAACTCGTGAGATTAAGATGTGCACAGCCGGTGACTGCAAACACGAATGAAACTGCTCTTCGGATCACCATCGAAGGCCGCTGTTACCCTACATAGCATGATCCGTAATTCACATCTTCGTACCCCTCTCACGCTACCCACTCTCTATGGGATCGTCGCTGGTCCTAGGCGATGCTTCCGTACATAGTGTGCTGAACTGCCTGCATTACCTGCGTGTTACCCTAAACACAAATGTACCCACCCTTGCAAGGTACGTACTTTGCTCCGTTTAAATGAGCTTTGTGTTTGGCCACCAAAGCGTTTAACATGGGCCGTGGTCTTGGAACGGAACTGTCGGGCATCCTCGTGTAGCTGCTGGAGCTCTTCGTGAAGTAGGTGGAAAGCCAGACTTCATGACCTTAACGATGTATGGCAGAGATTGGAACATGGTTTGACTTGACTTCACAAACGACTACAGAGAGACAGGTCTAAAAGTTTCATGCACGGAAGGCGTCGTGCTGGACCTGTTAGTTTTCAACGTGTGTGGTCGGCTCATGGAATGTGTGGCTTACTGTTTTAGTGAGAGATTTTAAACCAAATCTGGGTAAACATCTCCAAGCAGTGGTTTGCCGGCCCGCCATCATAAGCTTCGAGTCGAGTCTTTGTGGATCAGTGGTCCGTCGCATGCACCAGCTCCTCGTCAGAGGACAGTAAGTGGTGTAGCCGAAACGCGGTTACTCATTGCTTCCTACGGCAGAATCCCTGGCTAACTTAGTCGTAAACAGAGAGTACTGCATCCTGAATAGTCCTGTGTGAGTAGATGTACAACCTTTAAATTGTGACGCACCGATTCCTTATTCTGTTATCTTGTTTACCACCAGAGTACTGGAGATGAAAAAAGCTTCGGCACCCTATCCGTGTTTTTTAATTCTACTATTTCTAATTCTTGCGAGATAGGACGATTTATATTCGTCAGCAGAATACTAGCTGCACACAATGGGCCAAATAGGGTTTAATCTTGAAGATATTTTGTGGGAGATTGGTGCGAGTCTCTGCAGACAAAGAATTTACACTGTAAAATCCGGGCGGCTATGGACCTCGCGGGACAATTGCGGCTATTAGACTATACGCAGTTCGTGGCCAGTAGGCAATAGGAGCAGACGTGGGCAGCAGATGATGTACCGAGGACTGACAGGAACTGGTTTTACAAACAACCGGGTTGGTAAGCGTCGAGAAATAAGCAAACGTACAATCAATAATGGTGCAATCAGCAGGATTGGGAGAAAGTCACTGAAGCAGCAGGGATTTCTTGAAGCAACAGCAAGTAAGCATAAACGATGTACAAACACACATATACGGGCAATTGGACAGTGTGAGTTGGCCGTATAGAGAAAGCGGCGCGGAGAATCAGTACGTTTGGGTTGTAAGGAGCTGTCTTTCGTTTGGCGGCACGACACGTAACAAGTCAGATTGCACGGTTTCGTCCGTTCAAAACAAATCTCACCAAAGGCTAGCCGGCTGGTGCGGCACATGAGTAGTACAAAGATTAGACCCTTCATGGTGTCAGGTTGATGTGGGACAGCGCGTTCACCCACTGTTGGGTAGCTCTGGGTTCGATACTCGGTTGGTCCGCTTTTCCGACGGAGTGGAAGCTCGAAAACAGGTAGAATTGNNACTTGCAAGCTACGACGGATGGGGAAAATACATTAATATCAGCTACTGAACACTAAGCAGACCTTTGGTAGGAACGAAACAGGGGGAAAACGAGCAACAAGAAAACTAAACGGTACAACAATAAATGGGCGCAAGTCACGGTACTCATGAGTAGTCAGAACACAAGGAAAATTACGGCTATTCCCCGCCGATTCGTAAGGGGAATCAACAGTAATACCCATGGTCACACAGTGGTCAACCACTTAGCCTTACAACACTCAAGACGTTATCGAACTATATGAGTGTGGCTACCGTCTAAATTTATTGACAACGATTAGCCGTTCGTTGATGCGTAAGGACGCATTAGTTCGCGGACCGATGACTGACTGCCGCCCGTTTTAGAACAAATTTATGGATTCCAACTGCGCACTCGTCCAGGGTCGCTTGTCCCTGATCTCGCTTAGGGCCGCGCATGATGTCGACAGTCGGCTCAGCAACTGAGAGAGTGACAGATCAGGGTGTTATACAAATTTGCCAGATTCGTTTTTTGAACACCCGAATGCTCCACAGTCACATGAATTCATGCTCCAATGGGATCGTCAGATATTTGCAGTGTTGTGGGTTTTGCCTGTGGCACGCTGCTGAGGGGACCGATCAAGCGCTTGATATCAGACCGAACACTGGTACTGCTTGAATCTTAGGACAGTGTCCCCGCCGGTCCCAAACAATGTTTGGCCCGGCGAACTATCAGACGCCACATGAAGGTGCGCGCCAAACGTGAAGCCTGGTGGACTCGGAAATTTGAGAAATCGGAAGGGGCACGGAATGCCCGAAAACTCTACCGCTTGATCCACGCAATTGGTCTCCAAGAGCCATCTGTGAGCGAAACCCTCAAGGAACAGAAGGGAACGACAATGAAGAATGAATGAAAGCCGAATCCACCACCAAATCGCGTGCTTTGAACGACAATTCTGGTGGCCGCTCATCTGGAGCCTACAGCGTAGGTAGACGCCTAGGAAGATGAACGTAAAGCACCTTTGGAGATGTGGCTTCATATTTTCTTTCAGGTGCCACGGAGCTCCTCCTTCGGATGGCCCCCCATCCGCACTGTTCGAAGATTGGGAAGAAGTCCTTAGTCGGACGATGTCTGATCTGTTCGTCTGTATTTGGAAAAAGACGGTTCCAAACGCTGTAGAGAGCTCACGATAGTGCCCGATTCCAATAAAAGGATTGCAGTGAGTGGCGATCACATGGAAATCCTGTTAGAAATAAGGCTACCAGGATCATTTTTTCGTCGTCGCCGTATGAGGGCTCGTGAAACACTGACACGGATGCAGCAGGATGGACGCCGGCCTGGTGAGAGTGCGCTGATATCTTCATACCTTGCTCGATGTTGGAAAAGTGCCTTACTTCCTAAAGTATTCAGTTTTGATGTCTCTGGATTTTCAATGCGCATTCCACTCAGTTGACAGCTCTTTTTTCTTTGATAGCCCGGGAGCCTGTGAACATAATAAGTTCTTTTAGTTATTCGGCTTCCGGACATGCCAGAGTACACGGAAAGCTCCCCAAAGTTTCCGTACACAAAGCAGTGTCCGTGAGAGTCGCTCACTTTATCCCTTCCTGTTCAATTTCTTGATCAATGAATTAATGAGACGAGCGCTAAAATTTCGAAACCCTGGTGCTAAAATAGCCTGGAATACGTAGAAGACATCGTTTCATCTTCGAAGAAAAGGAGAAGGCGCAGATGTTTTGAACGAACTGACTAAAATCATCCCGCCCTTTGATATGCACTTCGTACCCACGAAGTGTAAGGTCACCTGGTGGACATGCAGCCACTGAACACCCCACTTACATTCATGGGAGTGGTTCTGGGAGCTGTAGAGCTCTTCACATATTTTGGAAGCTTTACTTATTCTGATTGCAGTGTGACAGATGAGGCCCATGCGCGAATCTGTACGGCACGGGTCGCGTTTGCTAATTTGGAACACCTATGGCATCAAAGTGGTTTATCCCTGAATCTCAAGGGACGTGCTCATCAGGCTAAAGTGTGGCCTCTTTTGTTGCACTGCTTCGAGACCTGGCCTTTTCGAGCAGCGGAAATGAGACGTCTTCAGGTGTTCGACAATCGTTGCCTTAGAACCATAGGTCATGTGGCTTGGTGTCTGCGAATCCGTAACGAAGTGATTAGAAAGCGACATTTTAGCTGTGTAACGGGTACTTCCATGAAAGGATGTATCCAGTTCCAGAAGCTGCCTTGGTTGGGCCACGTAGTACGCGTACCGAAACATAGTGGAAAATCAGGGGGATGGAGCAAACCCGAGAACTTTAAATAACGTTTGCCAAAGGAGGGTAGATCCAACAATTTTGAAAGCCAGGTTGGCCGTGGGTGAAAGCAAGTGACGGCCAAAGAAATGGTAAGTTCAGATGTAAACAAACCTGCGAGATGGGTTTGCATGGAGTGAATATTTTACCATTTAAATAAAAGCACTACCTAACCATCAGTGCAGGGGTTGGGCGCTAGTGTCGAGAGATACTGACGCCGATCCACCGGAACAAGCGTGTCCAAGAATCTGATGTTCAGCGAGATGCTAAGCAGTTTTCGTAACACCCCTAAACTTTTGTTTAGGCTTCCTCAGAGGACTGTGTCGTTCGGCGGATGTTTGTTTTGTCTTATTCAGGTAAACCACCATCTGTCAAAATTGCTAGGGTATATGGCAGGTTCGGCTACGAATGTGAATTACCTCTCTTCTACTACTAACGTGTTTTGAGGAAGAAAAATGCGCACACGAATAAAAGTTCCACTATCAGGCAGGTGGTGCGCACATCCTTCGAACCATACAAATTTACTTCGATTTTAAGCATTGGGATTACGCGGCAAACTATCTCATTGTAATGCATATTTAACTGGCAAAATCGATGCAAAAAGCTGACATAAACCATTTCGTGAGAATTTGATATTCTCCGGTGTTCTACTCAAAAGCTCTTGGATCAAAAATGAGCGAATTTCAAGTATCCTGCTAAGTTTTTCCAGGGAAAAACGGCGACGCATACGCAAGGGTTTAATTGTGAGAGGTAAGAGCACAACAAAAATCAGCCGCCGTCGTCCTTCATACGTGATGTACTCCTGAAGACTCAGCGCTTTACATGCTCCTAACTAACCACTGGTCTGGTGGGAACACCGGATCAGCAACGCAAAAATACGTCGAATGGCGTTCGGAAGATGCAACTCATCCACGATAGATACATCGGTCACATTTCATGGGTGCGTTAGCTTGGCCACGTGCTCCGTGTGCCAGTCAACCGATTTCTTCTTCTTTTCGCACAACCACGTGAAGGGTGCAAGAGTACCAGAGGCAGTCAATGACTTGGTAGCGGAGTATAAGGGCCATTACCAGCAAACTCAGCTGTGCTGGTAATTACCATCCTCCTGGTTGTGGACCCCGAGACGGACCATATCAATTATTAGAGACATAGTCAGCCATGGCTCAATCGTGCACTCAGTGGTGCTCATGCATTCATGCCATTGGTTTCATTGCACAGCGTCCTTCCAAATCCCCATAATTAATATTACACCGACAGAAATCTATGCACCAGTTTGTCAGCTCACGACACCGATGCGCAACTAACTACCTCACTTCCCATAACCATCAATGTCGGAAACTAAAAAAGCTACAACCAGTGTACGACGAGCGCGCAGGTCAAACATTGAGTTGATAATGAATTAATGGTCCGCTGGCTATTCAAACAATGAGATTGAGTTCTCGAAATCCACGGCATTTCCAGGCTTGCCACTGCACAGTGTAGAATGTCTATCTATAATGTATATGCTCCTGTATTATTGAAATTCCTTTGCTATGGCGATTTGTTTAAGTGAACTGAATCTCCAGGTGAACAAACACCGCCGACTTTGAATA